TTCTTGTTTTCTTTTCTTTTATTTTTTATTTTTTATTTTTTATTTTTATAACTATCTATACCCAATATTATATCACACTTCCTTTCACTTTATGTAACTAAGCACTTTGTTACCTATCTACACTGGACAAACTTGTTTAAGATGGTAATGCCACCTGGTTTGTGCATTAACCCCAAGAAGTTATTTTTTGTTTGTGACAAATCCAAACTTCATTATTGCTTCTTTGGGGTTATTTAATTCCACTCTGTAGTTTAGCATCTGGCACTGGTTTCTGTATTTATTTTTACATAAGCTATTATTACCTATGTAGAAAACCTGTATCCCTATCGCTGATCTTTAGTTCAGACATGCTTTCAAATTTTGTTCCTTATTAATGTGTAGATTGTTGCTTCTGATCATCCTATCTTATGGCAGTCCAAAAGAGCGCAAAGATTGAGATTACCAGTCCCACCTGGAGAGAAACGGACCTCCTTTCAAACTTTACCGGGCGTAAACCGGAAGGGAGAGGAACCTCTATCAAGGTGCCATGCTGTACCGGCCTCACCCAGCGGGAAACGGACCCCAAATCCAATAACACAACATGCTAGATACACAAATAGACATACGAGTGTAATACATACACTTAATCCAATCAACACAATAACGACCACTAATAGTTAAAACATTAACCAATTCTTGCAAAAAGTGCTCTGCGAACCACCATTCAACAACGAGTTTTCATTTATTTCCAAAACATTTCCAAAATACAATATGAGGTATTAATCATCACAACCATAGTTAGCTAATGGTTACCGTTCACCTAAACTATCTATCCAACAACACAAAAATTGAATTGTCTATTCACACTGTCCACTAATAAACCACAACAAATAGATAGCTACGATTAACTGCCAATAACCCACAACACATCACCCTGAATCACATTGTCCACACTACAATAGTACCCATAGCATCTATCAGGCAACAATCAATACCATCCTCCACCAATGGCCAATGACAGAACTCTAAGAGGCCAATTGCATAATCAAAAGCATAAAGACCACAACGTAAACCCCAACATACCAATTTCTTCCAAATTCTCATTTTCTTTAGTAAAAGAGATAATTAACCACACTTTGTTTTGAAAACCAATTCTCACTATTCCAACGTCCAATATCATTAACCAAAACCCCAACTCATGAGCAACCCAACATAACCCAATTTCCAACTCAACACTAAACATTCTCTTTAACATTCTAAAATCCACAAATTAAACACCAAGTCTTCCAATCCCACACCTGAAACATGTCCATACATCCCATACTCAAACATAAATATAAATCCATAACCCTAACTCTAAATCCCAAACCAACCCTTATGCTTTTATATAAAATCAAATATAATGATTGTACTTTTAATGCAATAAAAGTACGACATATATATTTATAGTGAGGTATTGAAAAGAAACTCAAGAATCCATACCTCCTGAAGTGTAGAAGAGAAATGCTGAAAATTCATCAGCAACCCAATCCGTTCAGATTAAATCGAAGCTCTCACGACCCTCTACATTTTGGTCTATGGAACTAAGGTGAGATTTTGAGCGGAAGGAGATGAAATCCAAGCTTAAAGGCTTGGGATTTTCAGACATGGAGAAAAGAGAGAGAAGAGAGAGAGAAAAATGATTTGGATTTTACCCAAAAAGTGACTTTTAAGGTGCTGATCCCAAATAGACTTCTCAAGTGATGAAACTTACTTTCGAGCGTCAGACACACAAGACTGCTTGAGTGATGAAGCCTTCGCTCGAGCGCAGAATGCGAACTCCCCAAAGTTCAGACCAACAAAATTATTGAATGACACGCAAAACAGCTTGAGCGATCAATTTGTCGCTTGACCGATGAAGAAGAAAAACTTGCAAGTTGTTAACATTTTTTGGTTAACACAAGCTCTGATGGTATTCTTCTGATTTCTACTCGACATATATGTTTTGTGGATTGGAGAACTTTGATAGAACTTTGATAGGGTTCTGTAGTATTTGAACCTTGATATTTCAAGCGGCTCTAAACATGTACACGACGGGGATTTGAGGCAATTCCCAGGTTTAATTACGATAGGGGTTACATATATGATGTTAGCTTTTGAAGATTTTGGATTTGTCAGAAGAAAATAAAAGGAAAGTAAAAGCAAAAGAAAAAAGGAAATGAAATGATAGAAGATAAAAATTTATGATTTAATGCTGAAAAATCCCATTTTGGTGACTTTGTAAAATTGTCTCACTTTCAAGTTTTTTAGTAAGTCATATTTTTTAGTTGTTAGCATTTTCTAGAGAAATTCATCCTTGAATCGAAGTATTAGTTGAAACATGGATCACGCTTTTGCAAGCTGGTGTCAACTGGTTTGTTTGTATTCAAAACTTTAAAATAACATAATTTTAACTATACACATTTGCTTTTGATAAAATTGATATTTTTGAAAGTTATTTGTGAAAATCAACATACATATTAAATATAAAATTATGTATAAAAAAAAACAAAAAAAACAAAATTTGATTTTGCTTTCACAAAATTGAGAGCTTTGTGAATTTTCTTACTTTATTTATTTATTTATATTATTTATTTATTTATTTTCCAAATAAGAGTAACTTCATTGATAAAAAAATAAAAATAAATTCATCCTTGAATCGAAGTATTAGTTGAAACATGGATCACGCTTTTGCAAGCTGGTGTCAACTGGTTTGTTTGTATTCAAAACTTTAAAATAACATAATTTTAACTATACACATTTGCTTTTGATAAAATTGATATTTTTGAAAGTTATTTGTGAAAATCAACATACATATTAAATATAAAATTATGTATAAAAAAAAAAACAAAAAAAACAAAATTTGATTTTGCTTTCACAAAATTGAGAGCTTTGTGAATTTTCTTACTTTATTTATTTATTTTTATTATTTATTTATTTATTTATTTTCCAAATAAGAGTAACTTCATTGATAAAAAAATAAAAATACAAGAGCTGTGAATTTTTCTTTCTCACTTGGTGTGTGTTTTTGATAGAGATTTTCCAATTGACATAGATGAATATTTTAAAAATGTGAAAATTTTCAACTTCTTGAATTTCTATGAAAAATCTTAAATTCATAATTTTTCAAATTTCTTTCGAAATTATGAAATTTCAACCAATTAATTTTTTCAATTAACAAATGGAGACTTCAAAATTTGAAATTGAGAATTCTGTAAGTTGGCAACAATTTTGAAATTGAAAGGGATCTTTGGACACAAAAGCCATACTACACCCTTCCAAAGGGGTAATAATGCCAAGTCTTAGCCTCCGTTTGAGAAGTGGGTTGGCTTTTTGGCTTTTTGACTTTTTTGGCTATTTTAGCCTGGGCTAAAAAGTTTGGTTTGGGAAGAACTTTTTGGCTTTTTTGATTTTTTTTGTGAGAGAAGAATGTAATGATTATGGGTTGGATGTGTTATTTTGTTTTTTGTGACTAAAATAGCCTATTTTATCTTTTGTGGCTAAAATAGCTAAAAAAGCGCCGTTTAGTTCTTGCCAAACGGAGCCTAAGCGTCATAATTTGTTATCAATTGAACACTCCAACCACTAGTAAGGATTGCCTATCTCCAAATATTCATTTTCTCATATTTCAAATCATTTACAATCATTAAGTTATATAAGAATCTCAAGATTTGAGAATCTCAAGATATATCCGATGATTGTAAGTGATTTAGTATAGGAGAACAAAAATATTTGGAGACAAGGGATCCTTGAGCTCCAACCACTGGTTCCATTAGTAGCATCGGAATTATTTAAAGTTCTATGAGGCTACTATAATAACCTCTTGTACAAATAGATCAACAATAACGTATATTTGCTTCCCTAATGGCTTCTATTTAAAATGATTACATTAAAAAAATTTCATAAGTTAAAGTTTGAGAAATTTCAACACAATTAACACGTGTAGGAAACTCGCCAATTCACATCTGTAAAAATAAATAAACACAATTAATTAGAAAGAACAATACAATTATATTAATTAAAATACTGAGTCATTCTAATCTCACAAGATAGTAGTCAACAAAACTTTTTTGAGCCTTTTAACAAAATAAATTTTATCAATTTAAATTTGAGCCTTTTAACAAACAAACAAAAAAAAATCTCAATTTTTTGTTAAGTAAAATCGACAGAAAAATAGTATTTTAATTATTAAACTCAATGTAAATATATATAAAATGTCTAAAATATCATTTTTATTGAATTTAATAACTGAAATACACATGTTTCGATCAATTTTACTTAACACAAATACAAAAATATTTTAAATTAAAAACAAATTAAAAATTTAGAATTTAAATTAATAAAATTAAAAAGCCAGAGTTTATTTTGATATAAACCCTAGGTTATTTTTTTATGTTATTTTTTATAATTTCTTCTAAAATTATTTACCCATTTAGAATGATTATCATTCTATCCTAAAAAGTAAATAATTTCACCTAAAACTGGTAGTAATTTTTACACTTCTTCTCGTATTTAAACTATTATGTTCTTAGTTTAAATCTTAAAATTAGATAAATCATGAAAAATACAATAATTTCTTCTCCACAAGTGACATCGACTTAATTATTAGAAGTTAAAAGTATTTTAATGCAAAATTTAAAAAATTCAAGAATCACAATAACACTAGAGCAAAGTCGAAAGGCTTAAATAAAAAATAAAAAAAAATAAAATCGAAAGTAAAGATAAAAAATAAAATAAATTAGAAGGACTAATTGACAATTTACTTATTTTTCAATTGAAGAGGATAAATAAAAATATAGTTGAGTGGCGGGCGTCCGTGTAATTAATTGTGGAGTTTGTCTCCTAATTCCTCTTCCTCCCGCGCCACTGTTTCTGCCTAGTAGGGTTTTTACGCCATTTCAAAACTCTCTCTCTCTCTCTCTCTCTCTCTCTCTACACCAAGGTAACACTCACTCTCACTCTCACTCTCACTCTCTACTCTCTGGTTTAGCTCTTTCTCTATCTATTGCCCATTGTAACTTGCTTCATTTTCGCATTTCTAGTTCTGTTCTACCCATTTCGCACTGACCTCAAAGTTTTTTTTTTTTTTTTTGTTGTAGAATTTTCTTTGTTTGGTAGCTGAGAAACTGTGAGAAAGAGGGGAAATAGAAAAGAAAATAAAATGTTGTCCTTTTGTTCCATCATGCTACTGCGGTTTCTAAGAGAGCGAAAACCTTTCCAATAGTTTCCATTGTGCTTAATTGGGTGAAAATATCTGCCTGCCTCTGTCTATGAAATTGTGGAATTAGTTATTGAAGAATCTGAGGACCAAAATTTTGATTTCATTTCTTTGCTCATACTGAATTTTTTTCAGGAGAAATTGTTGGGCTTTTTACATGAATTGCTTGTTGGGTTGCTTTGTTTGTGATGAGGATTTACTGGGTGGTAATGACTTAATGCACTTGAGGATTTTGCTAACTGAAGAACTGGACCTCGAAATTTTCTGGACTTTAATCTTTAAATGTTGCCTTGCCTTTGTTGTACTACACTGTAATACATTTTTCCAAGTTGTAGTTTTTGTTTATATGCTTAAATTTAGAACACTATTGTGATATGCTCAAATTTCATATTTGCTGTGTTGGATCCCAGATGGGAGTAGGCCTGTAAAATCTGGGTTATGTGATATCTTAGGTTTGCTCCTTAACACCTGCCTTTTTGTTTTTGGTTTTTGGTTTTTGGTTTTTTTTTTGGGATCTCCGAAGTTCTAACCTGTACCGAGTTTTTTAAAGTGAAAATCTATGTCACTATGTGGTCATTTATGTAATTCTAGCTTGGCTATGGAATTAACAAGAAGTTCATATTAACAAGATCCTGACACAAAGACCTCTCTTCTTTGATTGTGTTACATGTAGGTTTGTATCCTGTGGTCTGGTGGTTTGTTCAACAATATGCATGCAGTTAAGGGCAGCTGGGTTGGGCAGCCATTTGCCCTTGCTAAGTACAATGACTCTGCAGAGAAGAAATCACGGATTCGGCGTTCAAAAGAGGAGAGGAAAGCGCTGGCTGAATCTTTTATAAAGAAGTAATTGTTCATAGTTTCTCTTGCTTATTAAATTCATAATTTTTTTTTACCCTCTTTCATGGTTTGCAGGCAATTAGCTAAAATGAATGGCAACAGCTGCATCCTTATCATCCCATTCCTCTCCTTTACCTTTAGTTTATGTTCTTCTCTTTTGTATCTATGTATGTCTGTATGTTATTTGCCAAAAGTGTTAAATGAAGTCTTCTAAGGATTCCCCAATTAAATCAATCATTTTGTTGTCTAATATACTTCAGAAGAACATGACAATGTAATTTGTCCTTTTGCACTCTCTTTCCAGGATGCTTTTAACCTACGAGCCAACTTTTAGAATAATTCTAATCTTTGGCTAGATGAACATTTTAAATAGAAGCACATGGTTGTGTTGGAATTTTATATTTATAGTATGCTTAACTAACATTAACTACATAGTTGATTCATATATGAACATACATGAATTTAGCCATCACTTCCATTTGAAAACCAAATTTAGAGAAACTGTTTAATGGGCTTTGGTTCTTTTGTAGATATAATCAGTTCATTTGTTGATAAAGAGTTTACCATAGTGTATTCAAGTTCAAGCAGATTGGTTATATGATTATGCCTATATAGGTGGTTGGTATACTTTGCAACGCACACCAATAAAAAGGTTATTAAATTGTAAATGGAAACATTGTTAATTTCATCTTGATATTCTATCATGATTGGAAGGTTGACTATAGTAGTTTGTAACAGTGAATGTCTTATGCCAGATGGCTGGCTATTGTGGTGTAATGAGCAATAGAATCTGGACCAAGTATACCCCTTTCCTTGTTTACTTCCATTTAAAAAAAAAAAAAATATTTTGAACTTAAATTTCGGGAGTTATTGCTTGGCAGAATGGTAAAAACTTGTGGATGTTAAGTGTGAAGGGCAGCCATTTCATGCGAATAATGCCTAAATTTATGTCTCTGCCTGATATACACCTTTTAGCACCCTGCACTGATGGTACCAATGGTCAGTTTTTTTTTTTGAAGTTGTAGTTGCTATGATTAGACTTCTTTTAAGTGTAAGTTTTCATATTTTACTAAAATTTTGGGTGGGTCAAACCAAACCTCTACACACACGCAGATATACTGAAATTTCATTTTTCTAATGGCTATTAAACTCTCAAGTTTCTATTTGTAGTTAATTGAAGGAAGTATATCAAGCCCTCATGTACCACTTATTTGGTATGTTGCATGCAGATATCAGAAATTAAACAATGGGAATTTTCCATCGCTCAATCTCACACACAAGGAAGTTGGTGGGTCTTTCTACACGGTGCGGGAAATTGTCCGAGAGATAATCCAAGAAAATAAGGTGTTGGGTCCTGCAAAGTTGACTCCAGAAGAGCATGATAGGTTTTTGGAACAATATCCATTGGGATCAATTTCCATTGAACCTGAAACTGATTTATCATCGTTAAATGAGTCTGATATGTTGACTCATTATTTACCCAATCGCAATCATGATACAAGTGAAGAACTGGTTTTGAACTCTATTGTGCAGTGTACTGAACCTGAACATCAGAGATTTAATGAAGGGATCATTATAAATGGGTCTAGTAAGGAAGTTGAAAAGAAAGAAGAATATGATAAAGCAATATATACAAACTCGCAAGCTAGAGAAAGTCTGGAACTGGAGGAAAATGTAGCAGAACTAGAAGCATCTAAAACAAAAGTGACTCATGTAGCAGTAGATGTAAAGGTAGAGACGTTTCCATTAATGTCTGGTTCTAGGATAGCTTATGGGTTGGATGAAATATCAAGTGAACCAAGTGAGTTGACTGGAACTTTGGAAAAAGAAATTGAAAATTTGGAAATGGAGGCAGGCAACAACAATTCTGTAGTAGATGGGATGAACTTTTCAGAAAGCTCTTCTGTTTTGGAGCAGGAAAAAGCTGAGCCAAACCTTGCAGATCCATTATTGGAAAAAAGCTGTGCTTTGGTGGACGAGAAACCAGTCGAAAATCTTGAAGCTCCATTATTGGAAAATTCAAATGGCTCTACAACCAAAGAAGGCATTGTTCTTGATATTAATGATGGCACAGACTCTGAAGTTAAAGATGCCTTGACTGGTGGTATTAAGGTAAGTTTTTTTTGTTGACATTGCTTGTGCGAATAATATGTCTGCATCCATGATGCTGCTATCCTTTTCCTCCATTTTTTTTTTCCACTAAATACACTTGGTGTGTACTTGAAGGGAGACGAGAGATGGGTTGTGCTGCTTGAGGAATAAGTCTTTCCCCTTAAGGGTTAGGTCTGAGTTAAGTAACCAAATTGCAGAGCAGGTGCGAGAGCGCAAGTGGGAGTGAGAGCGCTAGAGCAACCTTTGTCAAAATAACTTAAGGTTGTGTTCAGAGCATGGATTTTTGTGATGGAATTTGGAAAGAGAAAGGAAAAAAATATGTGAAATGTATATATTTCTTTCACATTTCACCTATCTTTTTTCTTTTCCTTTTCAAATCCCTACTCAAATCCATGCTCCAAACCTATGAAGCATGGACACCTCTCCGAAGTGACGAGCAAGTGTCTAACACGTGACAGACATGGATACGCTCTGGACACGTGCTGCAGACACGTTGGGACACACTGAAGACCATTTTTTTCAAAAAAAAAAAGTTTAATTAATTAGTTAATTAAAAAAAATTTTATACTAAAATAGCATACCTAAGGTTGATAAATTTGACAAAATTAAATATTTAATTTGACATAAAATAAATATCAAATATTTAAAAATATGACATAATAAATATATAAAATTATATGTTTTGCATGTTCGTCTTACATTTTTTGAAAATTTGCATGTCCGAGTGTCCATGTCTTGTTTGTGTTTGTGTATGTGTTTCTTAGCTCCAAACATAGCGTAAGAGCAGGAGCGCCTTCAGAGCGTGTATATTTTTATTTTAAGATAAATATATTTATTTGAATTGTTTTTATCTTTCACTATTATTTTTTTAAAAAAAAAAAATTAATTATATTTGGTGAGGTCAAAGAATATGCAATATATCTAATAAATAAAGTATTTTGCCAATTACTGTTGAAGTGCCTTCTTAGTTCAGTGGTATAAACCGGAGATCTCTTGATGGCTGGTCGGGTGCTCAAGCCTTCCTAGCAGCATCTTTTCACTTGGCGAACGATTGCATGCAAATGACCATATTCTAAGTGCACCTGTGTCAACATTTCAATGGTCAAAGATGAAGTCATCTTTGATCCGAGTGTTTGACCCGATCAATCCATGGATTTGACAAGAATTGACTAACAATCTGCCAATCTGCGGGCCAGAGCGCGGTCTGCCGATCCACCTAGATGGATTAGGTGACTTGGGGTTTCGTATTAGAATGTGTACTGTGTAATGTGGCTCAGGTAGTCTCCACTTGACTCAATATCAGCAATATGATTTGATATAATGAGTGAAGCGAGAAGAAAGATTTCATGTAAAAATATCACAAGCAGTAGGAATAGGCTTGACTTGTTGAAACAATGAGTACAACAAACAATTCAATACATGTAAAAAATGATTCAAAAGGTCATTTGAAGAACAGAAATGCTGGGTCACCATATTAGTATTGCTTGAATTTGATATCATAGTTCTATTTCGTCTATTTAAGAAGAAAAACTTGATTATAGTCGATGGCTGGCTTTCAAATTTGTAGCTCTTCTACTAGCAAAGTATTTTTTGGCTTTCATTTAGATGCTTTTAACTGATTTTTTATTTTAAACCAAAATTTTTTTGAAATGGTTTTTATGCCCTATCTAGACTTTTTCTTTCCTTGTCTTGTTTTTTTCTTTTGTTTGGTTGTTTTTAATTTGGTAAGAAAATAATTTATGTAAATATTTTCCACTTGTAATTATTATCTTTTAAGGAAAAACTGTCATTTTCACTTTTGGCAATACCACAAGTGGGGTCAAAGTGAAAATGGCTCAATCATAAGTGGTAAAAGTTGATTTCCCATACTTCTTTGGTTTTTTTGTTATTCTGATTGCAAACCTGTCTGCAAAAGAAGTAATTAAGTTTTGATGTTGTAATTCCATGGTATGTTTTATCCTTTATACATCATTGGTTTGATTTTCAAATTTTGATGCTTTTACCACATGAACTCTTTCTCAAGAGATGTAGATGGGGTTTAGAGCAAAATATCAATATGTTACATGCAGTGGCTGAATGCCATTTTTCTTCTATGATTTAAAATCTGGAAGACTAATTTAGGGTTCGTTTGGTTTAGTTTTAGAATTATGATTTGAGTGTGGAGTTGTGTTTTGAGTTTTGAGTTTTTGAGTCATGATTTGGAAAGAGAAAATTTGTTTGGTTATGAGTTTTGAAAATAGTTTTGAGATGATTTGTAATTTTTTTATTATTTATTTTTTGATTGATTGATGTATTGAATGTGAGAGAATGTGAGAGGAGAGATGAGAGAGGAGAGAGAAATTGATTAATTGACTAATAGAAATATTTAATAAAGAAAAAAGAGAGAAGAGAGGAGTTTTGAAAGTAATTTTGAGTTGTATTTTAAAAATATGTTTGGTTAAATATGTTTCATCCAAATCATGATTTAAAAACAGAGTTGAGTTTTGAAGAGTAAACCAAAAGCTACTTTAATTTTTTATGGGAGTTTTATTTGCATTATGCTTGAGGCTGAACACCATTTTCTTTTAAAAAAATATGTATAAGAACATAAACCCAATTTTAGGGTTGGTTGGTCTCTATATTTATTTTCATTTGATGGTTGAACCAGATATGAGTCCATATTTGAAAATACCTTTTGCATCCAAAATCTACTTGGTTGTTCCCGCAATTATTTATAGCTCGTGTTACCATATCAAGTTATCAAGCATATGTTGAACCTATTACCTGACTAACCTTTTTTGTATTTGAATAATTGATTACTTGTGTGTGTAAATCATGATGTTAATTATGGATGTATTCAGCATGTAGGTTGCTCTGTTCATTGTTTTGGCGGCTTGTATATGGTTTAGCCAGTATTATGCTCTCGCTGTCCTGCTCTACTGTCTCACTCTATCAATACTAGCTCTACCTTGTGCCTAGCTTTTACATCAATTTTGTTCTGTGTTTGTCTTTTGATTTGCTGGTAAATATCCATTTGTTCTTGTTACCTGGGCAACATTTGACAGTACTCTTTTTAAACAAGAATTAGATGGCGAATTCTAGTGAATGCACTGTGACACTGTTGCTTTTGAATGGCTTTTGCAGCCTATAGATGCTCACGATGGCATCCATGCCCAGAATCTCAATGGTACTACTTCAAGTTCCTGCGAGCAGTCAATTTCCATGGAGGCAATATTAACCAAAAACAACCCAAACATCCAACAAGGTGGCAACTCCCCGAAAGGAAGCAATCCAACATTAGACAGAATGAATCTGTAAGTATCTCCGGTAACCCCAACTTTAGAACCTGTCACAATGTGAATTGAAAACTCAAAAGCCAATGAATTTGCAAAATTCATCTTCTATACGGTTCTTTGGTGATCAATGACTTTCGTCGTTGTCTTTGGGCAGTGAATCATGGGAAGAGACCGTGGGAAAAGCTGCCAAGCCAGAAACTAATCCGCTTTTGGCATTTTTTAAGTCATTCGTTGCTGTGTTTGTGAAGTTTTGGTCGGAATAAAGTCTCTGTATTCCTTTTAGTTTCTCTGCCCAGGAATGGATGAAGAGTTCTGTACCTACCGAAGCAGTGTCTTTCCATATATCAGAAAATGTTGCTGTTCCAATTGGAAAAGTCTTTGCACACCAAACTGAAAAATATACCGACATTTTACAAGTTGGTGTCTGCCAGTGTGTGGCCCCACCGACGAGTGAGGTGTCGGTACACTTTCAGTATACTTTTCTCAGTGCATGTAGCATTAATCATTCCAATTAGATCCCAATGTTTCTCTTTCCATGTTCTGATGGAATTCATGTTGTCAAGGTAAGTACTTATTGTTATAGAGAATGTTTGAAGCTTTTGTTGAATAATTAGAGTGAGAATTTATGCCAAACATTGAACTGTGATGGTGTATCCTGTATGATAGGGGCAAATGGTAGTCAAATGATTAGCTGAAATTGATCTTTTAGCCCTAATTTTTGTTTTGTTTTAATTGGAAAAATGACGTGAAGCTGTGTGTGATCTATAGAAACACATGAACCTCTAAAAGAAATGGAGAGCATGTTTTCTTCTCTCTTTCTCTGTGTGTGTGTGTGTGTGTGTGTGTGTGTGTGTGTGTGTGTGTGTGTCCGTCTGTTGATCAAACCTCTTCTTTTAATAGTATGATCAAACCTCTTCATTTAATAGTGCGAGACAATGTGAGTAATGCTGTGTTTGGTTGGAAGATTTAGAAAGGGAAAGAAAAAAGGGGTGTAAAATTAGATAAAATGTAGGTATATTTTGTTCATATTTTACTTCTCTTTTCTATTTTTTTTTTTCAAATTTCTTCTCAAATTTCTCAACCAAACACAGTATAAGTGTGTCTAGTTCATTGGAATGGAATTGCATTATAATCATTTTATCAGAGTACTCATTTTCATGTTTGGTTCGGTAAAAAAAGAAGGGTTATTTACATGTGATTCTCTAAACTAATGAAAAATATCATTTTAATTTTTTGAATTATAAAAGTGTATAAATGAACTCTCTAAATTATTGAGAAGTATCACTTTATTTCTTAAACTATGAAAGTGTATAATTAAATTCTATAAGCTATAAAAAAATATATTATGATATTTTTTAATAATTTAGGGAATCCTTACGTTAATAATTCGAAAAAGAAAGAAGTATACGTACTGAATGGATTCACCAATCATTTAATTGAATGACCATTTCATTGGGAGGCTACAGAATATTTATTTCATTATTGTCAGAAATTATTTCAGCGACATTCAGGGGCTTTTTCCAAACTAAAGTCTATCTTCCATCTTATTTTTCAAACTAGACCTAACTTGGACAGATTTCTTAAACTAGGCTAAAACGCTCTTACAAATCGCGCTTTCACTGTTTGGAGTCTAAAATTTGATGAATAGTGAAAGTGCTATTCGAAATCGCGATTTTAATTAAGAAAACGCTATTTGAAATCACGCTTTTAACATAAATTTTTTTTTCTAAAAAAAACATGGTTACAATTTTTTTTTTTTCCAAAAAACGCGATTACAAATTGCGCTTCTACTATTCAAATGCAAAATCGCGTTTCCAAATGGCATTTTCAAATCACACCAAACCAACCCCCCACAGCACTCACGCACACTCTGACACACACCCCCCATCACACAATATAATTGAAAAATATAATTTTTATATATAATAATAATTAAATATATATAATAATAAATAATAATCAATTATATAATTTTTATATTTTTGTAAATATAAATTATTTCTATCTTTCGAGTGGTTAGAAATAATTTTTTACAAATTAAATTAAAATAACCATACGTATGTATATAACCTGCCCAAAAATTAAAATGATAATTATTTTTTACCCTTAAATGATAATTATTTTTTATTTTTTATTTCTTAACCAAATCAATTTTTAATTTTTTAAAAAAAAAATTCTAAAAATCAAACCATACATAGCCTAAGAATCTTTTGATAAATCATTTCTTATATTGGTAACTTATTTAATTATTTGTTAATTTTGTGACATTTTTACCATCTGAGGCCTGTTTGGTAACCATTTTGTTTTCAATTTTCAATTTATATTTACAAAAATTAAAAAAAAATGTCATAAAAATTTGTTTGATAATTTTTTTGGTTTATAAATAGTTGTCTTAGTTTGTAAATTTGAGAAAAAATGTAAATTTAAAAAAAGAGTTTACGCTGGTGTCACGACCCAAACCCGCCCCTATGGGTTTAGCACCGTAACCGGCTAGTAATCCGAGATTATCGAAGGCCTGCTTAATAGTAAAACAGTAATACAGAGTACAAGGGCTGGCGGAAGCCAAAATAGTAATTAAAAGATGTCCAATAAGCTGTGACAGTCTGTATGCAAAAAGACTTTTCATAACATGTTCACATTCAGAACAAAACAGCATATATATACATCATTTACAGGCATTCAGGTGAGGGACCAAATCCCCACCATAACAGTACAGTACAAATATCATTCAGTCTATACAGTATATACAAAACAGAAACAGAAAGGGAGAATCTAAAACACCCCTAAACAGTCTTGGCTTGAACAGTTCTGGAACCTCTCAGTGAGGCACAAAGGTTGGCTTGACAAAACAGAGAAATAAAAAATAAAAAATAATTATCATTTAAGGGTAAAAAATAGTTATTATTTTAATTTTTGGGTAGGTTATATACATACGTAGGGTTATTTCAATTTAATTTGTAAAAAATTATTTCTAACCACTCAAAAGATAAAAATTATATAAAAAAAAATTATATTTACAAAAAATATATAGTTGATTATTATTTACTATTATAAATTATTATTATATATATTTAATTATTATTATATATATGAATTATATTTTTCAATTATATTGTGTGATGGGGGGTGTGTGTGTCAGAGTGTGAGTGAGTGCTGTGGGGGGTTGGTTTGGTGTGATTTGAAAACGCCATTTGGAAACGCGATTTTGCATTTGAATAGTAGAAGCGCGATTTGTAATCGCATTTTTTGGAATTTTTTTTTTTAACCACGTTTTTTTCAGAAAAAAAATTTATGTTAAAAGCGCGATTTCAAATAGCGTTTTCTTAATTAAAATCGCGATTTCGAATAACGCTTTCACTATTCATCAAATTTTAGGATCCAAACAGTGAAAGTGCAATTTGTAATAACGCTTTAGCCTAGTTTGGGAAATAGGATGCAAAAGAGGCTTAGTTTGGGAAAAGCCCCAAATTCAACCCTAAATGTGCTTACGAATTGCAAATTATCAAAGCCACCACTTTTTAATTATACAATATTGATAGGAGTATAAACAAATTATTCATGCATTTCCATGTGATTTATTTATAAATTTGTGGTGGGTATGCATTATCATATGGTGGTGCTACATGTACCAATTGATATACCAATTAGTATACCAACATGTATTATGACTTTATTATTTTAAAATTATGATCTCATCTATGGTATAAATTACAAACATTCAAAACTTTTAAAATTATGTCACATTACCTGAGAGCACACTAATTAGTAAAAAACAATTGAGCTGAAAAGTTGGTTGCCCTGTGTGTCTTGGCAATAATCTATACCTTCAATTGTAGCTCGACAATAAATTGGCCATAGCCAGTGTAATTAATTCCATTAAAATTGAGTAAATTTTTGGTACCCTTTTCAATTGGAACTCTTACTTACAATGGGGGTAGAGGGGGTAGGTATTACCATGTTAATTTGATCCTAAATGTTCAACAACAAATGTATTTTACTTCTACCAATGGTAGACTACCATATTATTGCCATTGATTTTGCATAGAAATCTACTCAACAAATCATATTGAAATAATGGTTCTGATTATCACAATGACCCGGGAGTGGACCTTATTGAACCACACAGTAAGACATGCATGTCATGTCTTGGACATAGCAGTCACCCCATTCTATGATTTTACTGGCTATAGAGACATGAAATCGAATTTTACTTTCATTTGTTTATTAATTTTAATTTTAATTTAATTTTATTATTATTATTTTTTTTTCTATTGCGAGTCAAAGTGGCAATTATTATTATTTTTTGTTTATGAAACACCGAATTGGTTATTATTCAGTTTCATAAAACATACATGTGATTTTATCCAATGGCTAGTGATGGGTTTTATAGAATTATGGTACAACTTAGTTATGCTAGTGTATATATTAAGCCCTCTATTCTATTCTATTCTCAACCCCATATAACAGAGGGAAAAGGGTGGAGAGAGGCCAACATTGCCAAATGTGAAGATCACATATCTTGTTAGAAGACCCTATTACACACTTTGCTTTGGTTCATGCTCTACATGAATCCATATATTTTCAAGTGTAAATTGGTGATCAAGCCTCCTAGAATGAGTTAGATTCATTGAGTAGGGTTCTGAGTTGAGGAGGCCTGAGGGAGGGTGTCCTATACCAAACCTATCAATGGCATATTGTCTGTCTTTACCTATAATAATAATGTCATAATAGAGAGTAATGCTACCACCTAAATTTTGTGATATTTTAAGCACTTCTGACAATATACAGAGTTGGGACCCCTTCTTACATACCCATTCACTCAAAGTTGTCTCTCTTCACTAAATTTTAGTTATCCTGAAAAGGAGTTGGCTCAATAGATAATGGAAAATGATAATTTCTTAACTTCCATATGAAATAATTGTTCACTTATAATGGAAAATCATCATTTCTTAGCCTCCATGTCAGCATCATCGTTGTGAATTTGACATTAGATTTGCAATTCGGTGATAAAGATGGTGTGTCGGAAGAGACACAATGAGTTTGATTCAATTTGGGTATGAATTCACTAAGTAATTGGGGCTATTCTTGTGCAATTCTATTGTCTTGTTAGTGTATTATTTGGTGGCGTTGCTCGTAATTATTTTTCTCACAATTGGATGTATTCTAATAATAGTTTTCCACCTTTAAATCTCTCTTGTTCTTAATTTGTTTAGATCTTATTTAGTTCTCATGGATATATTAGAACTAACTATGGTCCCTCAAATTTTGAATTGGTTAAAGATCGGTGGAATTGATTTCTAATAAGTACAAATCAACGAATCTCAAATTAGGGTTTTACAAGTAGTTACCAAAGTCAAGTTGTCATGGGTTTGAGTTTCTGCAGCATCATCACGAGAAAGAGATTATTAGTATATAATTTCACACTGCTCTAAAAATAAGTCCACGGACTGCAATGTCAAATGTCATAAAAAATAAAAGTGAAGCACTCCCTAACAACAACTAATTTTAAGAGAGATAGTAAAGCTCGATCCAAAAAGCTTCGTTCACCCAATTACTACCCACTAGGGGTGCTCGCGAATCGATTTTTGACGGTTTGGTTTGCGGTTTGGACCCGCCCGCATGTTTGTAGTTTGGGAAATACTGAACCTGTAACTGCCTGCAATGCGGATTGCGGTTTGTGTGGGTAGAGTTTGCGGATGTGTGGGTGGTCGCGGA